CCCTTAAACCTGCACCCTAAGCCCGATATCCCAAACCCTACATCCTAAACCTTAAACCCTAAAACCTATATCCTAAACCCTAAACCCCCAAACCCAAACCCCAAACCCCAAACCCCAAACCCTAAATCCTAAACCCTAAATCCTAAACCCTAAACCCTCGATGGCTTGGAGATCTTCGGCTCAAGGCTCCTATCTCGACTTCTCAGGGACTCATTGTTTTCTCATGTCACGGCGCCTTGTCAGTGAGAAAGGAGAGCCCAAGAAGGGCGAAGGCAGGGTTTAGGGTTTAGGGTTTTGGGTTTAGGGTTTAGGGTTTAGGAATTAGGAATTAGGGTTTAAGGCTTAGGGTTTAGGGCTTGGGGGGATGGGGCTTGCGGTGGAGTACAGGGGCTTATAGGCCTTTGGGGCTCCAGCACCGAGGTTCCTAATTGGGGGCATACCGGGGCTTTCCAGCAGTTCCTATTTCGATATCGGGGTTTACGAAAAATAAAGGGACCCCGGATATAGACCCCAAATAGCAGGGTTCCGAAGATAATAAGGACCGGAATAAGGTACCCCGAATGTCGGAAACCCCCATATACTTCTGCTGATGCCTCTTTTCTGTATGTATGTAGGTATGTAACCCTAAACCCTAAACCCTGAACCCTGAACCCTAAACCCTAAACCCTAAACCCTAAACCCTAAATTACCGTAAGGTGACGCTGTGGTCTAAGTCCCTTGCTTCCCCCCCCCCCCCCCCCCCACAAGTGAGAAGCTAGGTTCCAAAACTCGCAACTTTCGGTCAAAACTTTTTGAGACCCAAACCCTATGTAGTTTCTATAAACCTATTGTAGGGCTTACGGCTTAGGGCCTAGGGCCTAGGGCCCTAAGCCTGCCTAAACCCCAAACCCTGAACCCTGCAATCTATAACTTGGGATGCTCCCTTGATCGGGATTACCGTACCCCTATAAGACTCCGAATTAATTCAGAACTGTAAGTACAAGGGGAAACATCCCAATCTATAGCCCTGCCCAGCTAGCGCAGGTGAGGAGCGACATCCAGCGTCTTCCTTTCACTCCTTTCGGGCAGTTCGGAAGGTTTTCGTGCGTCATTCAAGTGGGCTTCGGGAACCCGCCCCAGGTTTAGGGTTTAGGGTTTAGGGTTTAGGGTTTAGGGTTTAGGGTTTAGGGTTTAGGGTTTAGGGTTTAGGGTTCTCCTCAGGAACTCAAGAGTCTATAAAACCAGGAGCGGTAACCCCGATAATCTCTGCCTACTTGAGGATCTTCGCCAGCCCTAAAGCCTGTCTGAAAAAACATGTCTATAAATGCCGGGTTTAGGGTTTAGGGTTTAGGGTTTAGGGTTTAGGGTTTAGGGTTTAGGGTTTAGGGTAACAACTGAATGAACAAATACATATCGACTGAACCCAGAATAAGATAAAAGTAACAAGATAAAGCGATAACGACTCAAACAATGCATGTATATGTTCTGCATGCATACCATCCCAAAAACCTACCGACGCTTCGGGAAGGGGGGGGGGGGAGGTCTGGTAGCTTCAGGTCTTTACAAACTTAGAGTTCCAGGGGGTGTGCATGTTGGTTCTAAAGTCCCCGCGGCCTGAGCGTCAATGCTTTAAGGGAGATTTACGCGACTGGGCTTAGGGTTTACCCAAAGGCTCCTATGTAGTACCTGTTTGGGATAGTATACTAGACTCCCCTATAGCAAACCTAAAAAGGAACTACAGTGGAGCCTTTGGGTAGGGTTGGTTTAGAGTTTGGGGTTTGGGGTTTAGGGTTTAGGGTTGCTGGGTTTCGGTCCCCTATCCCAAACATGTGTTCTGCCGGGCTACGATTGGGGCTTGCTTGGTCTTGTAGTCGGCGATTGCCGCCTGAGCACCGTCTTGAAGATCACAACCCTAAACCCCCTAAACCCTCAACCCTAACCCTAAACCCTAAACCCTAAACCCTAAACCCTAAACCCATTTTTTTGAGGGGGGATGGAGCGCAACAGCAGGTCGACTTTGTTTTTTGGTACTGGCATTTTGTTCTTGGGACGGGCGGCAGTGGGGCAGGAGGGACCAGGGAGTTCAGGGCTTCAGAGCTTTTGGATTTACAGGATGTAGGGGGAGTTCAGGGTTTAACATTACGCAGGTTTACGGGAGGGGAGGGGGGTCGGGGCGGGGTTTAGGGTTTAGCGTTTAGGGTTTTGGGTTCAGTATTAAGGGTTTAGGTTCAGGGTCAAGGGGTTGAGGTTTAGTGTTTAGGATCTAGGGTACTTAGGTTCTAGGGGTTGGCGGTCCAGCCGTTGAGAGAGTGCTGCTGTTGCTGCTGTTGGGGCTTGGGCCTTCCTCTTGAGCGCTGGGTTATTTCAGGTTCAGGGCTTAGGGTTTAGGGTTTACGGTTTAGGGCTCAGGGTTTAGGGTTTAGGGGTTGAGGGTTGAGGGTTGAGGGTTTAGGGTCCTGAACCGGCCCCCCCCACCAACAAAAGTGGGGCCTGGATCGCCTCCTCTGCAAGCACAGAGCAGTGGATCTTCACCTGGTATCACAGAAGCGGTCTGGGGCTTAGGGTTTAGGGTTTAGGGGTTTAGGGGTTTAGGGGTTTAGGGGTTTAGGGGTTTAGGGGCTAGGGGTTAGGGTTTAGGGTTTAGGGTTTGGGGTTCTGCAGCAAAGTTTGCAGATTTCAGTTGCATGGGGTGCACATAGTTTCCAGGGTCTTGGGCTGTTGGGTGCTAAGGATACCGGGTTGAGACGCTTTAGGGCTTTTGGGCTTTGGGGGTTGTAGGGTTGAAGTGGTCCAGAGATGTTGGGAGTCTGGGAGGGCTTAGCAGTTTCGGGTTGTAGGATATTTGGATGCAGGAGCCTGTGTTTCAGTGGCTTTAGGCTTTATACTGCGCGAACTAATTGAATGCTTAAGTACCCTTAATAATTGGAAACCAGGTGGAACGGTACAACTTAGATCAAGTTCAGACCAACATCTCGCAGAACCCAACTGTAAACTTAAGCCTAGTTATTCCCTAAGCCCCACGCCCTAAGCCCTAAACCCCTAAACCGCAAACCCTAACCCTAAACCCTACACCCTAAACACTAATCCCTAAACCCTAAACCCCAAACCCCACCGTTCATGTAAATTCATCGACCACTCCGGGGTCCCTGTAGCAATTCTGTTCTAAGGTTGAAGTGAGAAAGTTTAGGGTTTAGGGTTTAGGAGCTTAGGGTTTAGGCTTTAAGGGTTTTGTAGCGTTTAATGTTGCACCCGGTTTAGGATTCTTACCCGCTTTTGAGCGAAGTTCCGGAAAATAGTAGGGTATAAAGTTTGGAGTCTAAATCGAGGGTCTGGGGTGTGTGCGGCTCCTCGGCCGAAGCCCAAAATATCTTAGCCAAAGACATGGCCCAGTCATTTGCACGTCGGTTTAGTAGCCAGCTCTGAGATCCATGCTTTAGGGCTTCGGGCTGTGCAAACCCCGAAACCCTAAACCCTAAACCCTAACCCTAAACCCTAAACCCTAAACCCTAAACCCTAAACCCTAAACCCTAAACCCTAAACCCTAAACCCTAAACCCTAAACCCTAAACCCTAAACCCTAAACCCTGAACCCTAACATAGCAGTTAGCAGTGGCCCCAGGGAGGCCTTAATGACATGCTTGATTTGGGCATTGCCTTGCTTTTCTAGGTGCCCTTTTTCTGGGTTTACAGGGCTTATAGTTTTAAAGGAACCTCAGCGCCCTACAGAAAAAGGGAATAAGTAGGGCCCACTCCAGGTCCTAGTTTTGGTAGCTCTGGAAGCGGGTAGTAGAGCACCCTAAACCCTAAACCCTAAACCCTAAACCCTAAACCCTGAACCCTAAACCCTAAACCCTAAACCCTAAACCCTGGAAGCTCTTTATAACCGCGCTGTTGGCTTTGACTGGGCGGTTGCTCCAAGGCGCTTCTTGAAATCTGGGAGCCCCGAAGCACAGAGAGCTTCCTCTTGGGTAGTATGGAATAAAGGAAGGCATGGGGTGCTAGCAGTGGCCCTAAACCCTAAACCCTAAACCCTAAAACCTAAACCCTGAACCCTAAACCCTAAACCCTAAACCCTAAACCCTAAACCCTAAACCCCAAACCCTTCCTGGACCCTTCGATGTGATTGCTCTTCATTCCTTACGACAGAGAGAGAGGCGGCATCAGTTTCACCTCTTTGAGGTTGGGCGCCCCTCTCATCTGAAGCCCTTACCCCCCCCCTCCCCCCTCTCCCTGGCCCGGCAAAAAACAGAAAAACAGAGCCTCTATACACATGTACATATGTACATACTATAATACCTATACGTGTCGTCAAAATTGCTTGGGCCGGGGGGGGGGGTTTCAATCTCAAACTCTAAACTGGACGCTGAACAGAGATCACGAAGTTTGTGATCTCATGCATGGAGCACGACGGTCTCCAAGAGAGTCCGTGGCTGCACCCTTTGCAGCGAAATCGAATTCAGAGTTCAAGGTTGACGTAGCTGGGGATAACAGTCGGTTAACCCTAAACCCTAAACCCTGAACCCTAAACCCTAAACCCTAAACCCTAAACCCTAAACCCCAAACCCCAAACCCCAAACCCTAAACCCTACACTTGGGTACTTCGAACCCTACTTCGGACTGTCCATGAAGCTTTAAGAAAGGGCTGTGGGATGGACTAGGGCTGCTTCAAGGGCGATTCCGGCACGGCAGAGGATGCCCGACGCTGGCATACTTTGCGCACCTGAAGGGTTTAGGGTTTAGGGTTTAGGGCTTAGGGTTTAGGGTTTAGGGTTTAGGGTTTAGGACTAAGCGCTTGACTTGAGGGTCCAGACACCACACCAAAGCCCTGTAGCGGCCAAATGCTGTCAAGCCCCCAGCCCAAAACCGTAATACCACACCAAGCCCTCAACCCTAAACCCTAAACCCTGAACCCTGAACCCTCAACCCTAAACCCTAAACCCTAAATCCTAAACCCTAAACCCTAAGCCCTAAACCCGCAAAACCCTCACTGCCAAGGCGCTGCGTAGTCCTCAGGGTGAAGCTTCAATCGGCCCGAGGTGTTTCGAAGACAGGCCACTCTTTGACAGGCCACTCTTTGCTCCTGGGCAGTGAGGGTTTAGGGTTTAGGGTTTAGGGTTTAGGGTTCAGGATTTAGGGTCACGAGCCACTGCGTCTACGGTGGGGGTTCTCGGGGTTTACAGGGTTCTTAGAAGGTTTTAAGGGCCTAGAGCGCTTTCTTTTTGGTATAGTTGTGGGGGTTGCAGGGTCTATAGGTTTAGAGGGGTTAGAGGATGTACATGGTTTAGAGGGTTTGTAGGGCGCTCTTTTCTGCACCATTGTTGGCGTACTATTCAACCATGATCATGCTTGTTCCTTATTGGCTTTAAGTATTCATAAAAATGTAGAATGATTTTCAACAACGACCCAGTTTTAGGCGAAAGGTCCTCAAAACGTCTACGCCTGTGGGGCTGAAGACGGCAATATGAAGAAACTAAGTGCGCCACTGGGGGGTTGGATGCCCTGTGCGAAACCCTAACAGCTAAACCCTAAACCCTAAACCCTAAACCCTAAACCCTAAACCCTAAACCCTTAACCCCTTTGGCAAAGGAACTTCTCGGCCCGTTTTAGACCTGGTCTAAGGTTCCGGGCTTCGGGTGTCAAGAAGCTTGAAGCCTTAGACAGCTCGAAACCCCTATGCCCTCAACCCCTGCCTTAAAGGGTTCGGATCGAAACGCTGAAAGACGCTGACATGCCCCTAGGGTTTAGGGTTTAGGGTTTAGGGTTTAGGGTTTGAGGTGCCCCCTTCAGGGCACTCAACAGCGCAGGAGACTCCAGTCCTTGGAATCCGATTCCTTCCGCCATCTGAGGCATCGCGCCGCCACCTGCTCCCGAAACAAGCTACAAGGGTTTAGGGTTTAGGATTTAGGGTTACAAGCTACAAGGCCTAACCTAAGAACCCTAGCACTGGATCGTAAATCATTCCCAACAACATCCTCATTTGAAGCCCCTTCTATGAACACGCAACAGACACCCGTTTCTTGAACCCTAAACCCTAAACCCTAAACCCTTAACCCTAAACCAATAGCTTTCCTTCCTAAGCCCTGAGCCAATAGCGTCAGGCAGGTCATCAAAACGAAAGTTATCTTCTCGTCAAACAGCTCAAGTCTATGAGCCCCAAGATGATTCGGGTTTCGGGTTTCGGGTTTAGGGTTTAGGGTTTAGGGTTGAAGCTGCGAGCTACTGTAAGGGTACCAAAACGAACTCAAAACCGAATGACGACTTTCCCAAGCCCAGTCTCTTGAACCACTTTTTGGGATTCTAAACCCTAAACCCTAAACCCCTAAACCCCTAAACCCCTAAACCCTGAACCCTAAACCCTAAAACCCTAAACCCCAAACCCTAAAAACCCAAAAACTCTAAACCCTAAACCCTAAACCCTAAGCCCTAAGCCCTAAACCCTAAACCCTAAGCCCTAAACCCTAAAACCCTAAAACCCCAAACCCTAAAAACCCAAAAACCCTAAAAACCCTAAAAACCCTAAAAACCCTAAAAACCCTAAACCCTATAAACCCTAAACCCTAAACCTAAACCCTAAACCCCAAACCCTAAACCCTAAACCCTACATCTTGCCGACGGCCCGCTCGCCGGAGCCCCGGTGCCATGCTCCAGCTCCCACAAGAGGCTCCACGCCTCCTGGGTTTAGGGTTTAGGGTTTAGGGTTTAGGGTTTAGGGTTTAGGGTTTAGGGTTTAGGGTTTAGGATTTAGGGTTCAGGGTTTAGGGCTTGGGGGGGTTATAGGGCATGGGACTTTGGGCGTCTGGGATATTCTCAAGCACCCTAAACCGGAACCCTAAACTCTAAGGTAATAACAAGCACCCTAAACCCTAAACCTAAACCCTAAACCCTAAACCCTAAACCCTAAACCCTAAACCCTAAACCAGTAAGGGGGGGGGGGGGGGGGGGGCATTCTGGGCTCTGAGAAATGAACTTGGGGATTGAGGCTTGAGGGATCCCAAGCCCTTTGCATGGCCAGGCATCCAAGATGACGATCCCTTTCTCTTGGTTCAGGGTTTAGGGTTTAGGGTTTAGGGTTTCGGGTTCAGGGTTCAAGGTTTAGGGTGTAGGGTTCAGAGTTTAGGGTTTTTGCATCTGTTTTGGCAGGGGCTTTTTAAGGTTTATAAGTTTTATTTCTCGGGTTTAGAGTTTGGGTCTAGGAACTGCTGAGGATGTGATGTAGCAGGTTCCCTACAGTAGGGTCCCTCTTTTACTTTGATGGTACCTGTTGTAGTACACCCCGAATATGTAGGGTACCTCAAAAAGAGCTCGTATGCGCATTGCGGCATTTCCCAAAATTGAGGTACCCCGAATATGGCCCACACAATTCGCAACCCTCAATAAGGGCACGCCCTAAACCCTAAACCCTAAACCCTAAACCCTAAACCCTCAATTGCCGTGCACAATCCCCACTCCAGGGCTATTGGTCTCTTCTGCGGCTGAGCTTCGTAGACGACAGAAGGCTGACTGGCATGGTGATCCATGGCCTTTCGAATGTCCTCCCGCTCTTCTCCAGCGGTTTAGGGTTTAGGGTTTAGGGTTTGGGGTTTAGGGCTTAGGGCATGTTTGGAGGGCATTCGCGGCTTTCAAGGTTCGGGCTTACATGGTTCACCACGGGGCTTAGGGTTCTTGTGCCCTTTCTACCGTCCTCCCGCCAGAACCCAAAGCCCTCACCCTAAACCCTAAACCCTCAACCCTAAACCCTAAACCCTAAACCCTAGTCCTCCCGCACGCCCATGGCCAAGAGCTGCAGCTGGGTTTCGCGATCCGAGGCTGGCGCCAAGTTGCGGAGTGCGGAGCATGCGTTGCGTTGGACGTCCATGTCATCGGGATGCTTGCGCATGCTGGCGAGGACCTATAGGGTTTCGGGTTTAGGGTTTAGGGTTTAGGGCTTAGGGTTTAGGGGGTCTATAGGGTTGATGCCCGCAGGGACAAAGCAAGTCCGATCTTGTTGCAAGATTTCCAGCACGCAATGGAACGCAACGCGTCTTCCAAGCACACTCGCGACGCTTTGCAGGGATCCCTGATTTACTCTGAACTTGCAGTGTTGACTCACACACACACAGATACACCTTGGGGAACAGTCCTAAACCCTGAACCTTAAATCCTAAACCCTAAACCCCAAACCCTAAACCCTAAGTCGCCACTGAAGCGCCTCATTTGTACAAGGATGGTGATGCTGCACCAACTTCTCCCGGAGATGGCTGTCGCCTCGGTAGCCCAGCAACCATGTTATGGCAAGGGCACCCCTTTTTTGGGGGTTGGTTACTCTAGACGGGAACCTTGAACCCAACAAACAAGAAAAGGGTTTAGGGTTTAGGGTTTGGGGTTTAGGGCTTTGGGTTTGGGGTTTGGGGTTTAGGGTTTAGGGTTTAGGGTTTTGGGTTTGGGGTTTAGGGTTTAGGGCTACCAAGTCACCAGCAAGCTTGGCTATCAATCCACAGGTGGCCGTCTGCAGAAGGTTGTCATCGCCATGTGCCTTCCCAAGATCCGAGCCTAAACCCTAAACCCTAAACCCTAAACCCTAAACCCTAAACCCTAAAACCCTAAACCCTAAACCCTAAACCCTAAACCCTAAACCCTAAACCCTAAACCTTAAACGACGCTGGACCGTGGAGACCCTGGAGAAGACCCTGGACCCATCCCAAGCAAGACCCTTTGACCTGTGACCTAGGCGTTTACATCCCCGGTCCTATCAGAACCTCACAGATACAGGTTTAGGGTTTCTGGGTTTAGGGTTTATAGGGCTTAGGTTTAGGGTTTAGGGTTTAGGGTTTAGGGTTTAGGGTTTAGGGTTTAGGGTTTAGGGTTTAGGGTTTAGGGTTTAGGGTTTAGGGTTTAGGGTTTAGGGTTTAGGGTTTGGGTTTAGATGTAGGGTTTAGGGTTCTAGGCAAGCCCCGAGCCCCGAGCCCAAAAAAATGCCAACCCGCCTTCAGGTTGCTTACGACTGGGCCGAGGATGTCTTGCTGCACCAGCTTTGCCCGAATGCTGCTATCCTGACTGAAACCAACAAAGAGCACAAAAAGGTACAACTCTATCATATGGAGAAATAGAACCCTAGGTTGCCCAGTAACCTAGCACTAAAAAAGGTGCCCCTTTTTTGCTTAAAAGGGCTCATAATGAAACCTGAACCTCCAAAAAAGGGGATAAGGGCACTACTTACTGGGCATCCTAGAACCCAAACCTAATGGTTTTTAAGTTCAGGCTCCACGACCAAGATCTCCAAAGCGAAGCACGCGTACCTTTGGTGAGTTGAGCGCTAGGGTCTAGGGTCAAGGGTTCAGGGTTTAGGGTTTAGGGTTTGGGGTTTAGGGTTTAGGGTTTAGGGAGCTTCACGAGCACCTTCCGTGGGCAGTGACACCCGAGCCCAGTCCAGCCAGGATAGGACAAACATCCCTGACCCTGACCCCTCGATGCATCAGCTGAACCGGAGTGGGCTTGCGGGCCATATAAGAACCAAACTTTAATGGTCTATACTAGAGTCTATACTTCTAGATTTATGCGGGGCTTCGGGTCTACCGAAATTGCGAACTAGCTTCAAGCCGACCCCTAGTTAAGAAGCAGAAACATCCAAGACACCTGCGGAGCGCCAAGTCGTCCTTCAGCATACAATTCAGCATCATTCCAGGCCCCTTCTCGGCAAAGAACTGCTTGTTCTTCGCACTCCCGGTTGTCAGATTCATGAGAGCCTTAGTTGCTGAGTTCGGTTCATAAGCACCAAAACAAAGTGTACACTTTCAGTTCTATAGGGGATTAAAGTATCCCAAAAAGTGCATAAAGTGTACTCATAACCCTAAACCCTAAACCCTAAACCCTAAACCCTAAACCCTAAACCCTAAACCCTAAACCCTAAACCCTAAACCCTAAACCCCGCTCAGGAGCCCGGCACGCACCCCGCAAAACAGGGCAGTCGTCGGATTCATCGTCCTCGAGATGCATGTCGATGGCCGCCAGGACTGAGTCACCCGCACCCTGATCCTTGATAGGGTTTAGGGTTTAGGGTTTAAGCCTTCTGAGCCCTTCCTAAGATTTTAACTTCTAGGCTCCTTATTTGTAGCTTCTACAAAAACCAAAAGGGTTAACGTCCTAAGAGCCAGCCAGAAGAAATCCAAGGATCCATGAGCGACTCCTTCTTCTTAATGTCTTTGCCTTGCGCCAGCCTACTGACCAAGTGACAGACCTCGCCCGCGTAGTACCTATACTCCCCTTAGAACCTTAATAAAAGCATTATGTTTAATACCCTCTTGGGCTTTATGTAAAAAAAGAAAATGATTCCCAAGGGGAATATAGGTACTTGCGAATGTCAGTAGAGTCGTCCTTCATGGCATCGAAAAGCTTCTGTGGATCAGCCCCATATACACTCAGGGCTGTCGACATTGCAACTTCCAATGGCGCACGCTTGTCAGCGAGGTCCGCTGAAGCAGAGGCATCGTTCTTCAAGATCTTCTGGATGGGAAACTCCTCCGGGCGTTCGGGCTGGTATGCGCAGAACTTCCTGACGAAGGCAAAGAGCACGTACTTCGCCAGATTGCTCATCGCAAAGCAGCAGAGTATCCGGGAGTGCTCCTCCCAAACGACATTCACGCGCTGCATGTAAAAGCAGCATACAAAGCCGGTAGCCAGGACAAGCTCCAGGAAATGAGTCAGCACCTCGGCATGACTCTATATATATATATATACTATATATATATATATACTATATATATACTATATATATATATATTGTGAGCTGAAATGAGTGCATATGCATCTTCTGCTCTGTGATGCATTAGGACTCGGCAGACCACCTTGTAGTTTTCCTTTGCATGTAGAGTTTTGCAATTCGTAACAATGCCAATATTTTGGCTCAAGTACCGAGCTTGTGCCTTTGAGCACGGTAGTTTCGTACAGTAGCTCTTAGGTTGCTGCGCGGTCCGACCGGACGCACTCAGGCGTAGCTGCACAAGTGCTTGAACTCGCGAAGTCGTAAAACAGCGTGACCGGGCTGTGATTGCATTGGCTTAGTGCAAGTCCAGTGCTGGTCGACTTCACAATTGGGGGCTGTTCTGGGAAACGTACAGCTCTTGTGCCTACGGCCCGAGTGGGCAAGCATTGCTTTGCTTGTCTGTCGCGGTCCGTGACCTGGACGCGTGGACTGTGTGCCACGCTTGCGGCCTGTTAACCAAGGCGCGGCGCTTCGTGTGCCACGCCTGCGGCCTGCTAACCAAGGCGCGGCGATGTCCGCAGAGGTTGCAGGTCAGGCCGAGGGCGTCACCCTCCTCGAAGCGATCGAGGGTGGAGACGTTCCCTATCCCGAGCGGATGAGCTACGTCGCTTGGCTTAAGTGGCGTAGGGAGACTGGCAGCCGTCCGTTGTCCAAGCGGGATGGGGTCAGCACTACGCCAGAGCAAGAGGCGGCTCTCTGGCGAAAAGTCATGAAGTTCCTCCATGACGCCGAAGACGAGGACGAGGATGAGGAGGAAGAAGAAGAGGACTCCGAGCTAGTCCCTGAGGCCTCGGGCGCTGGAGGCGACAGTCCGCCGCGGGTGGACGTCAGCGCCGCGGCTAGGGAGCTGGCCATGGTCCCTACCGGTGCTGCCTATGTCCCTGCTACGGCACCAGGGTCCCGCCCGGCGGGACCGTCCGGTCCGCCGTCGACAGCAGGTTCAGTGCCAGGCACCGCAGAGGGCTTGCAGGCGGAGCTGCGCGCGATTTTCCGTCCAGACCAAGAACCGGTCGCGGACTACTTGACGCGCGTTTCGCGGATTGTCCTCGCGCTGAAAGCGCATGGAGTTACGGTGAGCTCCCGTGACCTTGACGCCTTAAGCACCAAAGCCACCCTCCTTGCGGATGAGTTCTCCAAGATAGGCGGGGACTGGCATCCGACAAAGATGGTCGGTCGGCTGCGGACCAGATTCTCGGTCGCGGCTTTGCGCGGTGGCGAGGACCCCGAAGACGCAGAGGAGATTCAGCGCGAAATCCAATGCATCGGGGAGCTTATCCTCGCGCTAGGGGGAAAAGAAAGCTCGAGCCAAGAGAAGGTTTGGAGCTCCCCGTCCGATGTGCCAGTTGAAGCCGTGGGGCCGCGTTCCCCAGGGCTCCCACAGCCTGCGACTGCAAGTGGGTTGGGGGTAGGTTTGGACCGTGAAGGTTTGCACACTGCCGAGGTTGCAGGTGGTCCTTCCGCGGCCCGTGACCTGGGCGCGACGGACGGCGATTCCCCTTTGCGCGCGAAGCTTGCGGCGCTGGAGATGGAGATAGAAGCCCTGAAGCGAGGTTCAGACGGCGGAGGTTCGCAGACCGGGTCCCAAAACCCGGCGGGCGATTTCGCCGCACTCGCCGCCCAAACTGAAGCGCTGAAAGAAGCGTTAGCGCAGAGGGGCGGGCAAAGCTCCATAACGACGGTCAAAACTGACCTCACGTGGCCGACGCTGACCGACGACAAGTCGGACGCGCGAGACGTTGTCCTGTTCTACGAGGAGTTCGAGGACGTCTGCGCGCTGGCCAACAACTGTCGCGGTATGAGTGCGCGCGAGAAGCTGCTAGCGCTACGCGGGCGCTGCCGCGGCTCGCGCATGAAGACGTACACGAACGCCTACCGCGCAGCGTGGAAGTCGGGAGAGGTTCTCTCCGACCCACAGGCGGTGTACGACCGCATCAAGAACAAGCACTTGATGTTCGGGGAATCGCGGGAGGAAAGAGAAGTCCGCGTGGATGGTGAGCATGCCTCCCTCGCTAAGGGCAAGCTCACAGGCCACCAATTCGAGCCTTTGTTTGAGGCATCGATCGCGGACCTTGAGGCGGTGGGTCTTGGGAAGACCCCACGAGAGTTGTATCTCTCGTACCTCCGCAAGATGCCCCCGTATCTCCAAAAGGAGATACGTAACGACAAGCGGTTGTGGCCCGGCGATCCCAAGGATGGCGGGCTGAGAGGGCCGCAGACTTGGGAGGAGAGCCACAAGGTCGTCTTGGAGTACGAACAGAGGGAAGCAGCTCACCGGGCTGTTTCCCACTCTGTGTACTCCACGACCGGCTCTCCGAGCGCGGACCCGTCGGTCGCGCTAGCCGAGGCTCAGAAGGAGATTAAGAGCCTCAAGGCCGCCGCCAAGGCTGCTGCGAAAGGAGCAGCTGCCGCGGCCAAAGCTGGCGCGGATCAGACGTTTGCCGCTGCGTCGAAGGGAGCTGGCAAAGGAGCGGACAAGAAGATCTGCTTCCACTTTCGCGACCACGGGAATTGCCCGAAAGGGGATGCCTGCCCGTACAGCCACGACAAGGAGCTTCGCAGAAAAGCTCTCGCGGCCAAGAAGGGTGACCAAACCTTTGCCACTGCGAAAGGCAAGGGCAAAGGGAAGGGAGGTGGCAAGGCAAAGGCCAACGCAAAGCCTAAGGCTGCGGCCAAAGGCGCGGCAAAGCCACCAGGCACTGTTTGCCCCTTTTTCTCCAAGAATGGGTCGTGCAAGAAAGGAGCCAGCTGCGACATGGTCCACAACCTGACGACCTCAGGAGGGACGCCGGCCTTGCCTGCCAACTGGGCCCCGCCCTCCGGTGCTTCCATGTCTAACCCCTTCGCCGCGTTCAGTGTCCAGATAGGCAGCTCAGGCGTCCAGGCAGGCGTCTCAGGAGCCGCAGGACGCGCCGCGGTGCAGCAGCACGCGCTTCCGTTGAGCAAGGGCGGGCGGGACAAGTTCGCCACCCTGGACGATCTGCCGAAGGACTGGTGGAGCCTGGCAGACAACGAGCCAGGAGGCTACCAGTACAGGACGGTAGTCCAGGTGCTCGACCGTAAGGTCGAGTGCATGCTCGACGGATGCGCCGGCGCAAACCACGTGACAGAGGAACTCGTGGTGGGCATGATGAACCGGGCTGCAGAGCTGGGGATCGGCACCGAAGATCCCGGCTTCCCGGTCGTGAGACTCGAAAAGTGGGTCCACCCCGAATATGTGCATGGCATTGCTTCGGGAGCCCCCGTTCCTCTGAAGGGGGCAGCAGTCTTGCGCGTCACGCTGCTGGAAGGCAGGACGGCGGACGACTGTCGCCCCAACACTGAAATTTTCGTGCGATGCAAAATCGCAGCCAGGGGGACGTCCGATTGGCACGGACTGATCCTCGGCGGCAGAGCGTTGGACTGCGCCGGAAGGATGGGCCTGGGTTTCAGGCCGGGTCCCGACTTTCACGTCCTCGACACGCTGGGAATCAGGATGCCCAGATGTGAGGATCACAGCAAGACCCGGAAGGACAGGGCCTACGCCTTTGAAGCGCGGTTGTCGAGCCTGGACGACGCGTCATGCACCGAGCCTGGGGGCGGAAGTCGGGAGCTCCTCCGCTACGACGGGGAAGAGCCGCTCGAGCTCTCGCCAGGCGACGGGGTGCTGGTGCCAGTCGTGCGGGAGTCAGGAGTCTCCGCAGAGGGATCCCTGTCCGAGGTAGTGCTTCCGGTTGAGTGCGGGGTTGAGGCTGTGCCAGGCCTTTGGCCCACAGGAGAGGGTAAAGGGTTTGTGTTGCTTGCAGCCCAAGAGTGTGATCACTCTCTCCAGCCGGGCGAGGTTGTTGCGGAAGTGCGTTCCGGCCTCGTTAGCACTGCGGCCTGTGGTTGTGGCGCGGTTGAGACGGTGTTCGAGTCGGAGCCGTCTCCGCAGGCATGTGCGGATTGTGGGGTCGCCGTTGCCTCGGTTGACCACGACCCGTGCTTTGCTTGCGGGTCCGCGTCCAGGGCCGCGGCAAGAAGCTTCCAGGGTTGTTCCTCGTGTGCGCGGTCATTTGGGCGGCTGCGTACCGGCGCCAGGATCGGTGTGTTATCGGTCCTTGCTGCGGTGACTGTTCTCGCTTCCGTGTGGAGCGGGAGCGGCCCGGTTGGGCGCCCTGTTGAGGAGCCTGGAGTGCTTACTTGTTTGGACCACCTTCCAAGCGTCGACAGCTGGTGGGAGGCGCCGGGTGGTTACGCGTCTGTGTGGGGTAGTCGCCCTGCGCAGAAGGACCTTGGGACTCTGGCGGTCGAGAAGGCGCCTTACGAAACGTGCTTGCTTCAGCGCGCAGGTGAGGCGTGGCGTCTTTGGGACACGAGGGATTTGCGTGTGGCGGAAAGCGTTGCGTGCAGCGATGAGGTTCCCGTCACCGAACGCCTCGCGGTCTTTAGGACGCGCAAGGGTCCACGCTGGGCTGGCTGGCGTGAGGGATCAGCCACGGCTGGAAGAGGCGCAAGTGACGCAGTGCGCCCAGCAGACGCGGTCGACACGGCGCGCTGCCCGAGCTATCATATCGTGGAGAGCTGGGATATCGACAAGATGATCGAAGAGCCTCCAACGGACTACTATTATGAGAAGCTCGCGGCAGATATGCGCGCCCGACACCCTAAGGCGTGCCCGCACCTCCTCGACCACCTCGTTTCCTTAGAGGGTTTCCTAGACAAGTCAATCTTGTTTGGGTTCTCCTTTGGAATCAGCAAGGCCGAAGTTTGTGTCTCCAAAGGCAAGCTCCTGGGACACAACATTGGGCGGGACGGGAGTTCGCCTGACGAAGAGCGTTGTCAGGCGGTGATTGACTTTCCCCCGCTCTGGGAGAAGCTTCACATTCAGCAATTTTTGGGTTGCGCAAACTGGTTGCGCGGCTACCTGCCTGTTGAGTATGGGCACGCAGCCAAGATTTTAGGGCAGTGGCAGAAGCCAGGCGCCGTCTTTCCTGAAGGCGGGCTGGGCTCAGCCGCCACCGAGGGTTGCAAAGCCTTTAAAGCGATTAAGCGCATGATGCAGAACCGCATCAATTTGGCTACCTTCGATGAGGCCTCTGCTGCGGATGGGTCGTGTCCCCTTGAGCAGATCGCGGATGCGTCGGGCATCGCGGTAGGGGGCAGCGTCGTGCAGATGACGCGTGACTTGAGCCAGCTCAAAGTGCTTATGACGCACTCAAAGAGCTTGACCCCCGCGCAGCAGAACTGGCCGCCCTTGATACAGGAGGCGTTTGCCCAGCTCGAGGTAAAGCGGGCGACACGCCGCATGTTTGGCTCTATTCGGACTCTGTGTTGGACAGATCATGCCAACCTTACCCGAGCGCAAACGTCGGACATCGGAATGGATCCGAAACTCGTCCGGTGGGTTGCGGAAATCCTTATGGATGGGTCCGAAATAAGGAGCCTTAGCGGTCGCTCAGCGACGCTGGGTGACAGTTTTAGCCGCAATCCCAAGGATCGGGATGCGCTCCTTGCGGCGAGGACGAAAGATCTCGAGGGCCTTTCGGGCCAACTCCGAGGTTTCGACCTGGACCAGTACCTCGGAGAGGGTACTGAGGGTGACGGACCCGTGCCCTGGGCGGTCGGCAACGACGCCGTCCCAGAGCCTGCGGGCCGTGTCCAGGCCGCGGCTGTGCCGATGTGCGTCGTCGCAGCCCTTCCGGTGCGCGTCATGGTTGTCTTTGACTACGCGCGTTGGAAAGAGCAGGACGCAGAGCTGACTGAGATCAGGCGCGTCTTCCAAGCGAGCCTCCCTGGAGTTTCTGTGGCTGTCAGGGGTTGTTGGGGTCCGTTTGAGGATACCGACGGGCTTGCCTCGCATTTCGATTGCGGGGCCGGCAGGCTCGCAGGGACCAAGAAGATCAAGCGGATCAGGGTCGACTTGCTTACTTCGTGTGCCAAGGTTCTTAGGGAAGCTTCGGGGTTTCGCCCGCAATTCCTCGTAGGACTTGGGCAAGGCGGGCTTGTCACAGCCGTCCTTAGGTGGCCTTTGGTTGTTGAGCTCACGCTCCAAGCAAGGAACCTGCAGCGCAAGGAAGCTAGGGCTGTAGGAGAGGCTTGGGCAGGCATCAAGGCTATCTGGGCGGTGCGGCCACGCCTTTGGCGCACGCAGCAAGGCCACTTGGAAGTGGCCGAGGCTTGTCCGGAACTCAAGAAGGATTTTCCGGAGCCTCCCCTGCGAGGTTTTGGGATCGTAGGGAAGCAGGCATTGGGGGCGGAAGTCCTGCGGTCCTTGAGGTTGGACGCGGTTCGTTCCATCGATGATGCCAGCATTAGAGGGATGCTGGACGAACCGTCACGACCCCTCTGGGACCATGAGGGTCTGTGCATCTGCGGCAAGCGGACCTACCTGTTTTCTCGCTGCCCCGCCTGCATCGAGAAAGAGGCAGTCGATACCTCGGTGGAGATAGCCGAGCGGGAGGAGCCCGAACCTCCGCTTGAGGGCGACCTTGAGGCCCATGAGGTGGGCCTAGAGGTCAACTCCGTCCTTGCAACTTTGGATAGGACAGGAGGTTAGTTAGGGTTAGGTCCTCAACCATCCAGCAATGGGCGGTAGGGTTCAGGACTACGCCCAAAGATGCTCCAGTTCCCACAGCATATGGCATGCTGAGTGGGAAGATATGGAAGAAGAGCCATTCCATGAAGCTCAGCCTCGGCTCCCAGCACAAGGATCTTTCCAAGTGGGGCGATGTGAAGCCTTACTGGACCACATGGGTGGTTAGAGAAGATGGTGCTGTGGTGGCGGGGCACAACTGCTCGCCCCTGAATGTGGTTCAGGGCGACATCGTCGTGCGTTGGTCGTCAGAAGTGAACTGGCACGGCCACCGACATGTCGTGAATGAGCAGTGTGAAGTGCTCTGGAGGTCTAAGGGCAAAGAGGTTGCCTTAGACCCCTCCTTCGGCAAGCTGATAGCCCTTGTGGGTAGGGTTACTCAGGTCATTGGCTGGCGGGCAACCGGAGAAGCTTCGGATCCCCGCAGTTCTACCCGGCAGGCGTCAAGGGTCCTTGCTCAATTCTCTTCGTCCAATGAGGGCGTAGAAGGGCATTGGACCGCGGGCGCTATCAGTCGCGGAAAGAATGCCAATGAGTGCGAGCTGAAGGGTAGAGTTTTGGCGTTTATGGGTGAAGAGCACAAGGGCCCTGCAGTGGTTCTAGAGCTCGTTAGCCATAGCCCCATCCTGTGCATTTGGGACCATTCCTCAACCAAGGTCAAGGTCGAGTTTAAGGGCGGTGTTCCGTCTTTGAGCCTGATCGCGGAGGAGGACGAAAATCGTCGTGAGCAGCTTGCGGTCGAGGCAAGGGACGCGGCGAACATTTCGGAGTTCCGGGTCACGGGATCCCTTCGTACGGCGTGGTACGAGGGCCAGCGGCGCGATCCCTCATTGGCGGGCTCGATTCGCAAGCCAGAGCCGCCGATGGTGATCTCCGGAGACGGGTTGCTTGAGCGCGAGGTGACCCTCAGGACGGGTCAAACCGTCGTAGTCCCAGTGGTTCCCAATGGGGCTGCGGGCGCGAATGGAGTGACCTGGCGCCGCGCTTGCTACAATTCAGTCCACTGCGGAGTCCTTGGGGCCCATAGGTCCGCTGAGGTTACCATCAAGCTGCTAGAGAGGGCAGTCTGGTGGCCCGACTTAGAGAAAGATGTGCGGACCTGGGTCGCCAAATGTCTCGCTTGCATTAAGGGCCGCTCTCGACCGACTAAGGTCGAGGCTCGTGCGGTCAAATGTGGCGCCGAGACATGCTGGCAGGAAGTCAGCGTGGACTGTGAAGGTCCAAACCGAGAGGACAGGGAAGGGCATAGGTACTCGCTTACGTACTTCGATTGCCTCAGTCATGCTGTCCTCCTCGAGCCGATGAGGTCTCTGACTCATGCTGAAGTCAGGAGGGCGTTCGTACGCTGTGCGCTTCGCAGCAGGACGATCCCGAGCCTCATCAGGTCGGATAGAGGGCCAGAGTTCAAGAATGCGCTCATGGCAGAACTCAGCGCTATGCTTGGGACCGAGTGGCGGTTCAGCGCGCCCTTGAGGCCTTGTGAGTTGGGCGCAAACGAGCGAGTCCACCAAGAAGTTCAAAAGGTGCTGGGGGCGGTCGTCAGGCAAGTCGGCGCCTCCCTTTCCGAAGCTTGGAGTCCGGTAGCCCGTAGGGTAGTTCTGGATAGGTGAGTAGCCGTAGCCGTAGCTTAGGACCGGCCGTGTACAGTGTACCTTCTGTACCATAGATTTCTGTGTCTGCCGTAGCAGTCCTCAAAGCACTCAGTGGGCTCTGTGTACCGGAGCCTCGACTCAGGTCGTGCAAAAGACCGGAGCGCCTGGTTTAGGCTGGTTTTGGAGGGTCGTTCGTTTGGGTCGTCTCGTTTCGCGTGTCTTCGTTTGCGGGCTTGCGCCCAAAGCCGCGACGGACGCCCGCCCTCCTTGTGAAAGTCACTCACCGGAGCCTCGGCTGAGGGGCGAATGTGAGCTGACATGAGTGCATATGCATCTTCTGCTCTGTGATGCATTAGGACTCGGCAGACCACCTTGTAGTTTTCCTTTGCATGTAGAGTTTTGCAATTCGTAACAATGCCAATATTTTGGCTCAAGTACCGAGCTTGTGCCTTTGAGCACGGTAGTTTCGTACAGTAGCTCTTAGGTTGCTGTGCGGTCCGACCGGACGCACTCAGGCGTAGCTGCACAAGTGCTTGAACTCGCGAAGTCGTAAAACAGCGTGACCGGGCTGTGATTGCATTGGCTTAGTGCAAGTCCAGTGCTGGTCGACTTCACAATATACTATATATATATATATACTATATATATATACATATATATATATACATATATATATATATACACATGCCAATAGGACGGAAAGGATTGGGTTACCGGCTTAGGGAGTCTGACTGTATGGGTAGAACAGGTTGGATGAATCATGCTCATTGTGCTGGCATGATGTCTTCGTTCATGGATATGAAGGACAGCTACTGGGTCAAGGATGCGCCCACGGTCTCAGGCGTTGTTTTGGTGGGTTCTCTGCAAAAATCTTCATGGCTTCTACTGCAGCATCCTGTATCTGCGAGTGCCCTTCCCATTCAGATTCTTCACTCGGCCGAATCCAGCGCAAAACGCGACTCGAGTTGGGATAAAAACCGCACAACACGGTAGGTACATTAGGGGAGGAGGGTAACTTGCATGTACATTTGTATTTGAAGACAGAGATATAAGAAATGTGTATAAACATGCATGGGATATTTACATCCGGCTCGACGGTGTGCCAAGATCGCTACAAGTCCCTAAGCTCTGAGAGCTGTTTTAGGGGTCGCCCTACTTCAAGGTCTCCCAGAAGCCCTACTCCTGAAGTTGTACCTGGGACTCTATTTACCTACAGCTTAGTAGTAGCTACCCTTAATTAACTAGTAGGGTTCTACCGCGGGTCCCAGGCAGACCTCATTAAGAGCACCCAACCCGAAAAGCCAGCTCGGAGGCAAAGCACGTGCATCTTGGCGGATATGGTAAGCAACGCGCCAGATCCTGCAATCAACATGGGCTCGTAGACGCCTTGGTAGCCCAGTAACCATATCATAACAAGGGCGCCCCCTTTTTGGGGTTGGTTTTTTTATAAGAGAACCCATAACCAAAAAAAATGGTAAAGGGTACCACTGGGCTACCAAGTCACCAATGGTGTTCGGTACTGCCCATTGTAGCTTCGTGATGTTGCCTGTGCCGTAATATACCAAAGCGGCCTGGGTAGCCCCAGGAACCATGTTACCAGAAGGGCACCCTTCTTGGGGTTGGTTGCTTTTATTTAGGGGAACGCTGACCCCAACAAAAAGAGGGAAAAGGGTACCCAGGGCTACCAAGTAAACCCTAAACCCTAAACCCTAAAACCTAAACCCTGAACCCTGAACCCTAAACCTTAAACCATAAACCCTAAACCCCAAACCCGAAACCCTAAACCCTAAACCCTAAACCCTAAACCAAGCAGCTTGCACAGCCAAGTCCATCATCCACAGAATCACCCCGCTGCATCTCAGGCCAAAAATCACTCCATGGCTGTCCTCTGGTTTGATCACTGGGTTTCTCCGACTTAGGGTTTAGGGTTTAGGGTTTAGGGTTTAGGGTTTAGGGTTTAGGGTTTAGGGTTTAGGGTTTAGGGTTTAGGGGGAAAGGGAAATACCTCTATTGGGTTTGCACGGGGGAATCTGACCCACAAAAACAGGAAACGTGCATCACCTGTGTTTAAATCGGTTTGACAGGCGGTCCTAACCTACAGACACGGGACATGAGGGCAACATTGCGGTCCTAACAGTTCCTTTGGGGGAACCCGTCGTCAGGGCCACTGCCAAGTCCTACTTAGCTACAAGTAGGGCTCGGGGGTAGGCTTCAGGATTCAGGGTTAAGGGGTAACATGTCCTACTCGCCTTTGCAAGGGTACTGCTGGCTCAAGGCTATAGTCTTCCCAAAAACCAACGGTTCAGGGTCGTAGGTTTCACGGTTCAGCGTTTAAGCTTTGAGGTCAAGTGCTTGGGAAGAAGCTAAGTATATCATCTATTCAGCTGCATTTTAACATCCTTTACAAGACATGATCCATCTATTGTTTGGGGGCGGGCAAAAGGCACATCTGACACGGCAAGTGCACCTGTAGCCCCGACCCTTCTCTGTACTCCTGACACTTGCAATGGCAAAGATGCCAAAACACAGGTTTTAGGGTTTAGGGTTCAGGGTTTCTTTAGGGTTTAGGGTTTAGGGCGTAGGGTTTAGGGTTTAGGGTTTTACGAACCATTCGTCACCAAGAAGCTCTGATCAGCTGAAAGAGCGGAAAGAAAAGCACCTGGCTCGTCACCTCTGCCAGCCGGTAGAGCACCACGAGGATGAAGGGAATTGACGACCAGTCGGCCAAACCTACCTGGGTTGGCCTTTAGACCCTCTGAAAAAATAGAAATATGAATAAGTAAATAAATACATAAATAAATAAATAAATATAAATATATATATATACACACATATATATATACACACACATATGGGGTCGGTCCCTTATCAACCCAAATAAGGACATGAACAACATGTCCCAAAAACCAACCTAGTTACCACAATGCCCTGGCCTTTGAGCTCACGGGACACATGGCCTTTCAAGTCCACTTTGGCAAAGGACTTGACGATCGAACCCACGCTGAAGAACAGGGACACAATCGTCAACGAGCTCCAGCTCACAGAATGCTGCAGGAGCGCATACCTGTATACTGGATCGTGGGAGAAGGCAAAACCCTAAACCCTAAACCCTAAACCCTACACCCTAAACCACGCATGAGGCAGCAGATTTGGTAGCACAATGACGATGTTTGGGGCACCCTAAGTCAAAAAGTGCCCAGTCTTTCCCATTCTCATAGCCGCCACCTCTACCTTCCGGAATACACAACACGACAGCCCTAAACCCTAAACCCTAAACCCTAAGCCGTAAACCCTAAACCCTAAACCCTAGACCCCAAACCCTAAACCCTAAACCCGAAACCCTAAACCCTCCGATCAACTCGAGGTGCGTCTGCAGGAAGGTGCTGAGAAGTGACTCCGTAAAGGCCTCTCCCACGATGGCGCGTTGCAGCAGCGTCTGGCAGCCTTCATCGCGCAGGTAGCCTTGGCAGACTTCGGAACAGGTTTAGGGCTTAGGGCTTAGGGTTTAGGGTTTAGGTTTAGGGGTCAATTTGTAGTTCCTACAAAAAGCCCAAAAGGTGGCAAGTCCTCAGAGCCAGCCAGAAGAAAGCCAAGTACCCTAGACTCTAAACCCTAAATCCTAAACCCTAAACCCTAAACCGCCTAAACCCGAAACCCTAAACCCTAAACCCTAAACCCAAACCCTAAGCCAAGTCGCCCTCTAAGGACTTATACCTGGGATCGGTTGGGCTGGAGTTGACGGCCGCACAGAAGAGGCCGATGGACTGCAGCGCAATCGTCAAGGGTGTCAGCTGCAGAAAGATCATCAGGCTCAGGAGCAGGCTATCCTCTTACTGTTGGTTTTGTTGTAGGGAATGGGGGGATGAGGCACCCTATATAATCCCTTAAAGGGTATATATATATATATATATATAAAGGCCCTAGTTCCCTCCTTCCCTGCTTCCCTGCTAACTAACAGTGAGTCCTGAGAGACGTCGTGGACAGAATTCACCACGGAGGCAGTGGAGCCAGCCAGGATCGCCAAGGTGTTCATAACTGCGAAGGCCATCTTCCCCTCGCTCGCGAACTTCCAGATCATCAGTATGTCACTCATCCTGGGTTCCAAAACCACCCAAAAATCAAACACAAAGGCAACCCAGGTAGCTGAAGGATAGATACGCCCGGTGCAGAAGGGACCGTCAGGCGAATAGAAGTAGATGGCAAAGGGTAAAACCCTAAACCCTAAACCCTAAACCCTAAAGCCTAAACCCTAAACCCTAAACCCTAAACCCTAAACCCAGGAAGTCCGAGGATCAAGTCCCCGTAGAAGAGGACGACAGGGAAGAGAAACTTGGCCAGGACCTGTATCTTCTCCAGGCTGTCTCTCAACCTTGGGACGAAGTGAGGCGATAATAAAACTTGGAATGATATACGCCCGATGCAACTCAGATATAGGAGTGCGCTTCATTGAGCCCTAAACCCTAAACCCAAAATTAGAAACCCTAAGCCCTAAACCCTAAACCCCTAAACCCCTAAACCCCTAAACCCCTAAACCCCCAAACCCCTAAACCCCTAAGGCCCCTAAACCCCTAAACCCCTAAACCCCTAAACCCCTAAACCCTAAACCCTAAACCCTAACCCTATCCCTCTGACCCCCTTTCGGCTGCTCCCAAGGAGCGCGTCCCTCGTCGAGCGGTTGCCGTAGAGCTTCGGGCCAATCATGCCAGCGAGCACCGTGAGGAGGGCAGCGACCACCAGGATCAGCCTTTTGTTTGATTTTTGAGGTTTAGGGTTTAGGGTTTAGGGTTTAGGATTTAGGGTTTAGGATTTAGGGTTTAGGGTTTAGGGTTTAGGGTTTAGGATTTAGGGTTTAGGGTTTAGGATTTAGGGTTTAGGGTTTCGGATCAGCCTTCAGCTTCGCGGGTGGACGGGGGGGGGGGGGGGGGGATTTTAGATTTAACTTTCAGGCTTGGGGAAGGAAGGGGGGGGGGAGAATTGGGGGGGGGGGGGGGGGGGGGGGGGGGGGTGGAGTGACTCTGGAGGCCCTTAAACCCTAAACCCTAAACCCTAAACCCTAAACCCTAAACCCTACACCCTACACCCTAAACCCCAAACCTGAAGATCACCAGGCCGCAGGTAGACCCAACTGTGTGCACAGAAGGACAGCAGATCCAGCTTCAGGACGAGCACGCCTGGGTCTCTTCGGGTTTCGGGTTTAGGGGTTATAGGGTTTAGGGAATACGGGTAGTTCTTATAAAACTTGGGTCCCCTTTTTGGGATAAGTTTTTAGATTATTAAAGGGGTGCCCCCTTATAATGGGTACCCAAAAATGGATCTAATTTCGGAAACTACCCATATATGATGTGTAGGTTTGAGATGTGGGGCTCACGGTGCGGAATTGGGGTTGTTTAGAGGCTTAGGGTCTGGGCCAAAAGCTTGCCGATGTCTGCTGAAGCTGCATGCGCTTCCTGCCGCCACCCCGTTGCAGAGCAAGAACATTAAGACCTTGAAAAGTGTCTTGGGCGCCCGGATCTCCGCATGCTCCTGGGCACCAGGGTTTAGGGTTTTTGGATTCATGGTTTAGGTTTTTAGGGTTTAGGGGTGCAGGGTGTTCAGTTCAGGTGTTAAGAAGGTTTAGGGGTTCAGGGTCTGGGGTATACACCACACGCACGTATGTACAAGAAACGCTAAGCCCCAGAAAGCAAGCGCGGGAGTCTTTCAGCAACCCTTCCCCCCTCGTTTCCACGTTGCCAACTGCCTATGTTTTCGGCGTCGCTTCAGCTAGTCGCGTTGCTGACATTTCTAAGGATGGGATTGCATCCGCACATACTTAGCTTCCTGATAGAAGCAAGCTGCAAAAACTTCTGAGCTTCTGCAGGAATTCCCCACAACCCTCACTCGATTTTATGGATCCGGTTGAACCGCATCCAATGCTTCGCACAATCAAGCAAGCGCCGATACCCCGCAACCCCTTTCTACGCTTAAAACCCTATGTAAGTAACAGTTCACATAATGCTTTCGGACTCATTGGTCTCAGCCTCTAAGACCCAAACCTAAAAATCAAAAACCCGAAACCCTAAACCCTAAATCCTAAACCCTAAACCCGAAACCCTAAACCCTAAAGCCTGGACCCTCAACCCTCAACCCTGAAACCCGTCCTTGGTAGCTCCGTGTGCTCGGCCTTTTCCCTTAGACGCCGGCTCCTTCCTCACCTGCACACCTTGGTAGCCCCTAAACCCCAAACCCTAAACCCTAGCCCTAAACCCTAAACCCTAAACCCTAAACCCTAAACCCTAAACCCTAAACCCTAAACCCTAAACCCTAAACCCTAGACCCTAAACCCTAAACCCTAGTCCCTAAACCCTAAACCCTAAACCCTAAACCCTAAACCCTAAACCCTAAACCCTAAACCCTAAACCCTAAACCCTAAACCCTAAACCCTAAACCCTAAACCCTAAACCCTAAACCCTAAACCCTAAACCCTAAACCCTAAACCCTAGCCCTAAACCCTAAACCCCACCAAAAAAAGGGAAAAGGCTACTACTGGGCTACCAAGACACGAAGGCAGCTGCACCGAGTCACTCCTTGCTTTGAGGAGACGTGGCTGCCATCTTCTTCGTTGGCCTTGGCTGTTTAGGGTTTAGGGTTTAGGGTTTAGGGTTTAGGGTTTAGGGTTTAGGGTTGAGGGTTGAGGGTTGAGGGTTTAGGGTTTAGAGTTCGGGTTTAGGGTTGAGGGTTTAGGGATTCGGGTTTAGGCCTTGGCTTTGTTTTTGTGACACGGGTCTGCTTGGCACTAGTTACGCCAGCAAACCAAAAACATCTGCCACGTGTCATGCCAGAACCCTAAACCCTAAACCCTAAACCCTAAACCCTAAACCCTAAACCCTAAACCCTAAACCCTAAACCCTAAACCCTAAACCCTAAACCCTAAACCCTAAACCCTAAACGAGACTGAATGATCGCCCGAGCAGCCAACGGCTCGAAACCATCATTCCGATGACGGAAGACCATCTTCCATTGGCGGCTCTTGCAATTCCAGTCTTGAAACGCAAATCTGAATGGGTTTGAGGGTGCTTTTCCTGGGCTTTGGGGCGTAGTACCCCTTCCTATACCCCGAAAACCTAACCCCAAAAGCCCTAACATCCTAAAACCCTAAATCCTAATCTAAAAAACCCTAAAGCCTAAACCATACGACCCTACATCTCGAGCTGATCTCGGGCCTGTGGGATTCAGAGCTGGGAAGTTGGTGGCTTGCTGGCCAATGTACGCATGAGAGCAAGAGCGGCTGCTGCAACGTGGGCCCCAGTTTGGGCTTAGGATTTCAGGGAAACCCGAATACCCAAACCCTAAACCCAATTCCCACTATGGAACCCCCAAGCCCTAAACCCTAATCCCCCACCCCGCCCCCCCGAACTCTAAACTCTGTGATCCGCTCCAACCCTCAACCCTAAGCTCTAACCCCCCTAGGCCCATAAACCCTGTACTGCCCTAAACCCTATAAACCCTCTAAACCCTCTAAACCCTCTAAACCCTCTAAACCCTCTAAACCCTATAAACCCTATAAACCCTATAAACCCTAAAAACCCTAAGAACCCGCCTAAACCCTCTAAACCCTAAACCCTAAATGTTAACCCTAAACCCTATAAACCCTAAACCTAAACCCTATAAACCCTATAAACCCTATAAACCCTATAAACCCGCTAACCCTAAACCCTATAAACCCTATAAACCCTCTAAACCCTAGCTCCCGGCAGCCTCTACGACATATCGGGTTTGGACTTCGTTCTTTGAGGCTTTAGGGTTTCGGGTTTCATGGACCTACACCCTAAACCCTAAACCCGAAACCCTAAACCCTAAACCCTCTACCCTACACCCTAAACCCGAAAACCCTAAAACCCTCATACCCTAAGCCCTCGGTTGGCGCCAGAGTGCCTTGAAAGGGGTCCTCAAGGGAGGGGGGCCTGAGGAAGGTGTGGGGAGTACTAGGGAACCATGGGTTCCATACCCCTTGAAACCCGCCTCCCTTAAGGGTTTAGGGTTTAGGGTTTAGAGTTTAGGGTTTAGGGTTTAGGGTTTAGGGTGTAGGGTGTAGGGTGTAGGGTCTAGGGTTCAGAGTCTAGGTTGCGCAAGTTCTCCTTTTCCCAGGCTCCCCGTCACCTAGGAAGAAGAAAGGGCTTCTCCGCGGCACTGCAGTGTGGTGACAGGCCTGACCCCCTAAAAAGGCGAAGGAGTGCCGCTCCCTCGTGTGACAAACATAGGGTTTAGGGTTCAGGCTTTAGGGCTGAGGTTTAGGTCTAGGGTCTAAACCCTAAACCCTAAACCCTAAACCCTAAACCCTAAACCCTAAACCCTAAACCCTAAACCCTAAACCCTAAACACTAAACCCTAAACCCTAAACCCTAAACCCTAAACCCTAAACCCTAAACCCTAAACCCTAAACCCTAAACCCTTAACCCTAAACCCTAAACCCTAAACCCTAAACCCTGAACCCTAAACCCTAAACCCAAACCCTAAACCTTAAAAGAAACTGAAGAACGCAGCCCTCATCCCGCCACCTTCAAGCCCTGCTACTCCCCAGCTCTACGACTTCTTCATCTGGAACTCATAAGCCCTTTACTGCCAAACCCTAAACCCTAAACCCTAAACCCCAAACCCTAAACCCTAAACCCCAAACCCTAAACCCTAAACCCTAAACCCTGTCAAGTCAGCCGGAAGCGCTGGCGGCAACTTCAGGTGCGAAGAAATGTCGGTGTTCTTGATCCTGTAGCATCTAAGGGTTTAGGGTTTAGGTTTAGGGTTCAGGGTTCAGGGTTTAGGGTTTAGGGTACAAGGTGGGGCCCCCTAGTAATAAGTAGAGTTATAAGAGCCCTAAATGGGGTTATAAGTTCCTAAATTAGTTTATAAGTCCCTTAACCATCGTTAGTATAGTAAGGGGGCCCCTCCTTGTAAGGTTTACCGGCATTGGGAGGGTTACTTAGCTGCTGAATTCATAAGCCCCAAACAAAGTGTACACTTTCAGTTCTATAGGGGATTATCGTATCCCAAAAAAGTGGAAAAAGTGTACTCACTCAGCTACTAAGGTTAAGGGTTTAGGGATTAGGCTTTCGGGATCCGGGTTTAGGGTTGCTGGAGTTCAGGTTAACAGTATTTTGGTTCAGGGCTCATGGAGTAGAATTACGGGGAATATAGGAAAGGGTTTATCAGGTTTACTGCTCGCCAGGTTTAAGATTGAGCCGTTACAGGGCTTGGACTAAGGAAAAGGTTGGACGGTCTCGGCTCATTCGAGAACATCAACACTGACATGGCATCAAGTGCCACAGTGAGCGATCGAATAGCAAGCGCTACACTCGAACCGTAAACCCTAAGACCCTGGATGATCCTAGGCCCTAAGACCTTAAGACCTTAAGACCTAAGACCCTCAGCCTCTTCGTAGGACCCCGAACCCTGAAAGCCTAAACCCCACGCCTGAAATTCATTCGCCCTCTTCGCGCCTTCTCACGAAAGCCAATAGGGCTTGGGGGGGTGGGGTCGGGTTGTTGGGGGTTTTCAGTTTTTCAGGGCCCTCAAACCCTCATCCCCTCAAACCCCTGAAGCCCCAAACCAACCAGTACCCAAGCCCCGAAAACACTGTAACCTTACACCCCGTTCCAACCTAAGCCCTACAAACACTAAGCCTCTCAAGCCCTGAAGCCCTCAAACACCTAAAGCCGCAAAAACCAAAAACCCGTCCCAAAGCTAAATCCGAAGGACCGTGAAATCCCCCCCGCCTTCCCCGCGCTCCCGAAAAGAACACACATCCGAAACCAACCATGCCCTGCGGAATCAACCTCAAAGAACCCCCAGAGAAGCTGAGGAAGCAGCTTTGACGCCTGGGGTCGCTTAAGCTTTCTGGCTTGCTGTAAGGGTCTAGGGTTTGTAGGTTTAGGGTTTAGGGTTTAGGGTTTAGGGTTTAGGGTTTAGGGTTTAGGGTTTAGGCCGGTTTACATACGGCTTTCGGGTAATTCTTCTGATCTGTGTAGTGTTGATTAATGCCTTCCGGGGCTCGCCCCAAGCCACCCTTCGGGTTTAGGGTTTAGGGTTTAGGGTTTAGGGTTTAGGGTTTAGGGTTTAGGGTTTAGGGTTTAGGGTTTAGGGCTTAGGGCTACGCGTTTAGGTTTAGGGTTTAGGGTTGAGGGTACAAGGGACAGGGCTCACTTACGGCTATCCTTCGGCGACGAGAGCTATTGGAGGGCCAGTGCTAAAGCCAGATTTGCTTTGGCGAGGGCTGGAAAGAGGGATGGAGAGGGGGCGATTCTCCGTTTGGAGGCAATTTAGGGTCTAGGGTTCAGGGCTTAGGGTCTGTCCTAAGATGGTCGGATTGATTGAAGGTCCTTTCTATCGTGCCAACAAGGACAATGGTTGGACGATAACTTCTCAACCCTAAACCCTGAACCCTAGAACCCTAAACCCTAAACCCGAAACCCTAAACCCTAAACCCTAAACCCTAAAACCCTAAACCCTAAACCCTAAACCTCATGAGGGGCATCATCCCAGTGCTGGGAGCATGGAGAAGACTTACAGCTTCTTTGGGGGTCGCTACATGGGCCCTTAGTACCTTAAGAGGGGCCCCTTATGTACCCCTTGGGTTTAGGGTTCAGGTTTAGGTAGGGTTTAGGGTTTAGGGTTTAGGGTTTAGGGTTTAGGGTTTAGGGTTTAGGGTTTAGGGTTTAGGGTTTAGGGTTTAGGGTTTAGGGTTTAGGGTTTAGGGTTTAGGGTTTAGGGTTTAGGTTTCCTATACAACGCAAGGGCCGAACCCCTCCGAACCCGGGAACCCCTTGAAGGAGGCAGG